CCCGGTATAGGGGCTCACCAGCGTCACATGCTCTGCTGCTGATCTCGGATATGCTGGATGTGTATTATGAGACGCGGCAGCGTGTTCCATCGCGGCTGGATACAGAACGACTACCCTTCCGTCAGATCAGCCCGCGCAAGAAGTTGATAACCTGAGTTAGCGCATCCTGTCTTTGTATTAGGTATCAGCCGTGTTCTACAGTCATAACGCCATCCAGATATAAGTTCACCTTACTGGAATCTCAGTTTCGAACGGGCTCGGGACTTCCTCGATCTGTGCGGAATTGCACAACTTGTAGGACAAGAATCGCTGCCATAAGAAACACGTTACCTACCGCTGCATCCTACTGTTTTTGATAAATAAGAGAATTGAAACGGCATCACTTGTCGTGTCATTGTGCAAATTGTTTTCCGATGACCTAATCTACAGCTGCTCCAGGCGAGCACTTATGGCTTCCAATATAACCGGCAGCACGTCTGGGACCAGCGCCAATACAGCATTTATTGTCGGCATCCGATTGGTTAGAAGGCCTCAATGCTTTTTGATAAGTTACGGCCAGCTGGCATTACATAGTGTCTAAAGAAGATGCAAGGAGCAACACATTCGGATCCAGCCTGTGATACTGCTTCTTCCAGTTAATTCCAAAGGGTCCGCTGAAACGATACGAAACGTCTTGAAAACAGGTAGCCACATGGTATAAAAAGCGTTCCGAGGCCCAAAAACGCCATGATGTCTCTCGTGGGGCATCAATAGAAAATCTCTGAAACCTTGCGTGGATCCCGGCAGACGTAACTTAAAAGCCTGGAGAAGGGACCTCCAAATCGAAAAACAAAAGAAAAAGAATGGCAATGCTCGGTCATGAATTCGAAAAAAAAAAACCGCCTCGGGCTATCTGGCACGGGATGCTTGTGAGCAAGATGTTTGCTAGCATATCATTTGCTTGAGACTTGGCGGCTTGCATTTTAGTCACATATAACCTGATATATCAAGTCTATTAATGCAGGTGAATAACAAAAATGGATGCACTGGATGCAGATTAGAACGGCCGAGTGTCTAGTTTTATATTGGATTAGAGCTTAGGTGGGGCGGAATTAGCCGGGTCTGGATTTGACGGAAAGTGTTTTATCTTGTAGTCATCCACTACACGTTGCTTAAACATAGCAGAAGCGAAGGCTCAAACACATTGGCAACCGAAGACCACAGTTCAGAAAAAAGTGTTTCCCCTCTAAAAGTTATTGGGCAATTTTTAGTAGATTGCGTCTCGCCTGGAGAGGTGAAACAGCCATTTGTGCGAGTTAAGAGCCCGAAAAGAGAGCAAAGTCCACCTACGCCATAACATATGTGTGCATCGTATTGTGGCGTCGCCCGGAGAGCACTAAAATGATGCATATCTTCTTCGGTACACTTCGTTGGGTAACCGTCTGAATATAAAGTTATGCGCTGGCGATCTCTGTTGCAACCCACTAGATTCAGCATATCCCCAAAAGAGCAAAAGCACACGCCTTATTTATCCTGAGGACAGTGTGAGAGCCGTTGAAGAGAGCAATAAGGCCCCAGTTCCATTATAGTTCATCCACCCACTGCAACGTCACCTATCAGAAGCCCCATTAAAAGGGCGCACCAATAGCTTTTTGAGTTAAGAAGTAGACGTTTATCGTGTAAGCACTCGCCGCTTCATCCGTCGTCGCCTTTTGCCCTGTCTTCTCTTCTCGTTGTACCGCAATAAACACGCGGTCTCGGCTTTAGCTGTGACCCTACGGAAAGCGCGTGCTTGGTAGCGCTGCATTCGCTACAACAGTGACCACTGGCTTTATTGTCGAACACAAAGCGCATGGCGGCGAGAGTTTGGCTGTTCAGTATTCTTGGAGGGCTGAGAGACCACTTTTGGTGAGATAATATTTTGTCCGTTCAAAAACAGCGAAACATTCTTTAAAAAGGCCCTCTCTCGTCGCGTCTCGTAACGTACCCCGGCAGTGTAGTCACGCAGTATAGTTCAGTCATGTGGTCAGTCCAGTGTACGCAGCACGCCAGTCCGGCCGTCTTTTATTACCATGAGTCCAACAATTGTGCCGGTCCAGCCGCCACATCAGTCCATCTAGTGCACTGGTCCGCCCGTCGCGTCCGCCCAGCCATCGCGCCAGTCCGCCCGTCGCGTCCGCCCAGCCATCGCGCCAGTCCGAACGTCGCGTCCGCCCAGCCATCGCGCCAGTCCGAACGTCGCGTCCACCCAGCCATCGCGCCAGGCCGCCCGTCGCTTCAGCCTAGCACAGCAAAGACGGCACGGCACCACGTCAGTCCAGGCCCGTCCGACGGCTGGAATGCAGGGTCACCAGAGGTGGGGTGCGCGTGCGACGCGAATAGGTTCGAATAAGCGGCGCAATCTGGTAGGGATTAGGAATCATTGAACCTGAATAGCATGTCGCATGAGAGGGTGCCGCCGGCCGGCCGTCGGGCGCCGCCAAGCCGACATCGATGCTCCGTGCCGACGTGCGGACGTTCT